AAAACAATTAAAGTAATCAGAAGCCATCAATATTTACTTCACACAGCAAGTTTTTAACTGTCACTTAAAGACAATCCAACACAAGGGCATAATTCAATTCAATTTTTAACTAGGGATAGAAAGACTGTTTTAAATTTTTCATCTCAAACTCAAAGATTATTATCTGCTTTTTAACTTCTCTGGCAGTGAAGTATCCTAACTAGAAATCTTAGAGCATATGCTTTCCAGGGAACTATCTTGGAAAATGTAGTATCTGTATTTTTTTAAGCATTCAGTGAAAACGGTGATGCATTTAACAACTGAACATCCGTGAGCAGTTCTCAAACAAGCAAACAGGAAATTTGGCAGCAAACAGGAAATTTGGAAAGCTGCTCAATGGGGAATACAGATCTCTAGGTACAAACTCAGCAGCTCCAGGCAAACACCAGAACTGTGTTGTGTTATAACCATTCACAAAATGCAGGGGGGAAACCTACATATTATTTTACTTTCATAAAAACATCTACAAAATCCTGCCTAGTGGACTTGTTGAATAACTCATTTGAGATGTCTGGCCTCAAAATCCACTGCTAAGCCTTGCTTGAACTATTTTGCAGACAGATATACTGCTTAAAGCTGTTGTGAGCCCCTGCCTCTACAGCAGCAAAGCAGGCTCTCTGGGAAAAGGGATGGAAGGAGCAATCTTTCTCCATGGTGACTCAGCTGGAGTGAAACTGGTGGGGCATCAGGGCAAAAATTGAGAACTAGAGATGATCTTCCTCTCCCCGCTGCAGGACGTCACATTAAAGCCCATTGCTGGAGATGACTGAAGGGGAAGGAGGCTGCCAGCATGTTTAAAAAAGCAATTGCTTAAAAAATTAGCTTTCCCAAGTATCAAATCTTGAAAGATGGGATAATCTTAGAAAGAATTGGTGGAGAAACCCCCACCTCCTCTCATGCCTGAAATCAGTAAAAGACAATCAGGTTTTTTTAAGCCTGGATTGGGTCTAACCTTTGGTCAATTAAATTGAACCCAAAAGCTGCAATGGAGATGATGGATTTGTGGTAATGGACTTTTGTAGAGAGATCACATTAGTGCCCGTTTAAGACGATTTTTCTGTGTATGCCACAGGCAATGAAACTTGGCTGTGACTTTTTTCCTGAGCATTCTTACTAATGAGTTAGGGACTTTACATCGCTTCCCCAAGAGCTTTCTCGTGACAGCTTCTGTAGGGTACCAGTCTCTCCCCTCTGCCTTCAATGCATGATCAGCAAGCGAATAAGCTGTTGACGGCAACACCTCCCGTCTTTGAATGATGCTAAGCTCCAGATTGATGTCTTTCCCAAACTGACCACTGCAATGGAATAATCCATCCCCTGTCAGCAGAGACTGGGACATAGCTCAGAATTAACTGGCTGAAGCTCAAACTAGATAAACTGAAGATAATATTTATAGGTCAGAGGAAACAATTGAAAGGAATATCAAACATGACACCAGCATGCACAACCAGTGGAGTTTATCTGCCCCTTGCTTTAAAACCCAACTGTCTGCCTGTCGCAGGACATGCTTGGTTGAGAGCAGTTTTCATAAACATTCGTTCTGAATGCCATGCGCCTCAGTCTCTGGCCAAGTTCAGACTCCTTGTTTAATCTGCTTTGTATGAAGAGGTTTTGATGAATGCTTGGAAAATATCTATTCTTTGTGAAAATATTTGCCTGTGCATCCTAGCAAAGTGGATTGTGCATAAACACCATTCCTGATGGTGATATTGATGTCTGTCTACACTTCAGATATACTATGGTCTCTGCTTTTCCCTCATTTGAAAAGAGCTGTGGACTGAGTGGCCATCACTCCAATTCATGTGCATAAAGAAGCTATATTTGCAGTGTAGAAGAGGGTGCCTTTTAGCAGTATAATTCCAGGGAGGTAACATGTGTAGAGATACATTAATGCTTTTTGTTCAGTATATCCAAATTTCAGCAGACATCTAAGGCATCTTTCCCAGGTGCTCTAAGTTGAAATGAGCCTGTATTTTGTGGTTTGATTACTCCTTTCTCCCTTCCTCCCAAAGAAATCTGTTGCAGCATTGTTGATAGGACTTTATTGTATTGCAATGTATTTAAAAGCGCTCTCTTACGGTTTTGCTACACTAGCACACTTCTTTGAGATGCAGAGAAGCCCATTATCAGAGATCATCCTTTAGGGATTCTACATCCAGCAAAAATAGCTCTCAGTTTGTGGATTACTCTGTGTTTTGATGTTCAGGCTTTGCGAGACAGAATTTTCTTTCATAATCCACAATTTCGAGATGGAGCCTTTGCTGTTCCACAGGCCCAAATCAGTGTCAAAGGTCTTTCACAAGGCAGGGTAAGTAAAAAAAAAAAAAAATAAAAAAATCAGTAGCAATATGCTTATACCCTCTCTGGGTTCACTTCCGAATTAGAAATGGTGAATACTTGCAAATTTTGAGCTGGTTTTATGAATTATTCACAACAGAGAAAGGATTCTGAGTTGCATTTGTACAATGAGAAAATACAGATGATAGATGGTTTCACATGTCCAATGAAAAATCAACCATCGCAGCTTGAATTTTGAATACCAATACCAAACTGCTAATGAATAATTTGCAGATCAGGAATTTTTAAGTGAATAATTTTAAACAAATAAATTTGAGAAAATCAGACAAGTGGTTCATCTGCTTCTTTTGGAGCAGCTAATTTGCCCATTCACTCCCTTCTGCAGCTCAGTTGCTGTGATTTGGTTCTCAAAGGACCAAAAAGAAAATGTAAATTGAAGTAAAAAGTGTGCTGGAAAAATGATAGCATGTTACTTTGCCAATTCAGAGTGACAGGGTGTGTGAGCAATATGGTAGGAGAAGAGCATCTGTTAAACCTGCTAAAAATATAGTACCAGATTCTCATAATCCACATTGGGAAATGACTTTGAAGAAAAGAATGGAGCATGGGGAAAAGCTTTATTCATTGAGAACACTAAGGGGCAAGCGATTTCCTAGAGTCAATTAATAACTAAAACAACTCAAGGGTGGGACAATTTTTTGGCTAGATTGGGAGCCTGCAAAAACAACATTTAAGTGTGGGTTAAGAAAATAAAAACCTCTGGGTCAGTAAGAAGGCTCTGGGGTGGATTTACAGGCAATAAGGGGAGTCTCAGGAGCCCATGGTCCCCTTTCCCCCATAGCACTGTTTTATGCCATATGGGCTCTGGATGTGTGTCAGGGGAGATGAAGCCCCTTTCTCCAGCTCACCTGTGGCTGCCTCTATAACATGTCATTATACCCACAAACCCCACACTTTGAAAGCAAACATGTGCCTAAATTTTTGGGTTACGAACTAACTTTGCATTCTCATGTAGCTCCTGTTCCAAGGGGGCTTTTTGCATGTGGGACAGGATTTAGCTTAGTTTCTCTTTTACTCTCTTTGGTATTAATTAGACGTAATGCTATAAAGTATGTATTTCTAACAAGTGTGGAACTCATTTCAAACTGTGAATGATGCAGCAGAGCTCCATACGGTTTCAGTGAATTAATTGTGAAATTATTCCTATCAGGAAGACCCCTACTTATAGTTGTGACAATATTCAGCTCTCATCCAGCCCTTCTAGTCTTCAGAAGCTCTTTAAAACGATAACTCCAATAACAAATTCCAGAAAGCCCATGTCACACTTTAGGTGAGTCCTATTAGTCCCATTTTACAGATGGAGAAACCAGGAAAGAAAAGCTATGTCACTCGACCTAAAGCACAGTAAGTACAGTTTTCAGGGTTGGGCTATAACTTAGGAACTGGTGGTTTCCAGTTTTGTGGTTAGATAATTAAACCAGGCCTTCCTCTTCTATTGAAGCTAATCTGTGAAAAATGAGTGCCTTCCCTTTATGAGGTTTCCAAGCATGTAGGCAAAGAGGAATTTATGACCTACAATTTATGTAAAGAACTTCCTTTTCGTAAATCAATTTATTAAAGCTCTGGAGAAGCTTCCAAAGGCTCTGATCCAGCAGTGCACTTAGACATGTCCATAACTTCAAACAAGTAAATCGTCCCATTGAAGTGCTTTCCTGGACTGGGGCCAAAGAAAGTACAGTTCTCCCCTGAGTCAAGGTTCAGATGTAAAATGGGGAAAAATAATTTATCAAAAGTTTAATAAGTTACACAGTCATGTCAGAGCTCTGCCAGCCTTCCAGATTAATACCTCAAGCTAATAAGAAATGGCCTCAGGGAGATAATTGCCTCCTTATTGATACGCTGTGAGGAAATGTTAAACATCATCTGGAGGATGCGATGTTGCTGGCTTTTCCTGAATTTGCCAGATCCCACAACCAGGCAATGTGAAACTTCTGAGGGGACATGCCTGGTACTAGCAACACTCCTGGGGCATGAGCTCCCTTTTGTTCAACTGTTACTCGCTTTTAAGGACTATCCTCATTGGAGAACTAAGTATTGTAATATTTCAAGGATTTAGAGTATTTCGTAAGGCTTTGCAATAGTGAAATCACTGACAAGAGAACTATTCACACCTTCTTCTGGACTCCTTCACTGGTAAATACTTGGGAGATGGTACTGAACATACTGTTACACACTGCTGGCAGCCTCGCCAGGAAACTACGCCAAGGACAGCGTCTCTAATCTGCTGAAAGACTTGTGTGTCGAGGTCATGTGCGGAGCAGTCGGAGGTAACCGGACCTTGTGCTAGCCGGGAGCATGGAATGAGATGTTAAATGCTAAAAGAAAGAGCGAGTTCCTAGGGACGAGCAGGGAATGTGACTCAAATTAGCAGGGTGACACCTCTACGTAACGACACAAAGCGGTCTTCTCCACTCTGGCGCACTGATTCCTGGGGATGCACAGCTACATATCAAGACCTCCTTTGAGCTTTGCCTAGGGTTGTTACTCAGAATCAGAGTGACAGCTGTCATTTTGCAAATGCAAAGCTGCCAGACTTAACAGCCTGTTCTTACGCATTATAAAATCCAACACAGGAAGCATCGTAGTTCCAAAATGATACTTACATCTACAATAAGGAAGTCAAGCCAGCACCAGGCATTGGTGAAATACTTCTTGAAGCCATAAGCCACCCATTTCAGGAGCATTTCCAAGACAAAGATGTAAGTGAATATTCTGTCAGCATATTCCAGCATGGTTTTTATGTTTTTCCGATCTTCAAGGTAAATATCTTCAAAAGCCTGGAAGTACAAAAGAGTGATTAAAAATTTCTCCTAAGCTGTATTGGAAAGCATCGGTGCTGCACTGCAAGTCTGTAGTATTATTTGATGGGATATCATGTACTGTCTGTGATTTCTGATATATTTTAACGTTCCCATCAGAAAGAGTGCACAGGCAGAAATAGGACTGACGGTAACCTAAGAGAAATCTGTTCAGCTTTCCCTTATAATGGACACATGCTTAGTTATCTCTCTCCAGCCTCTACTGGCTGTACTGACTAGACATGCTTTGAGTGTAAGAAGAGCTTAAGCACCCTAAATTTGGGAACGTGAATCTGTGAGCAGGGTGCTACCCCAAGCTGCCCGAGGGAATCCTGCCTCAGCTCCTCTTGGCTGTGCCACTGCTGTCGGGGCACCTCAGGTGTGCCAGGGCATAGGACGCCTGTCTTTAGGAGGCAGAATCCAACCCTTACATTTAGTCAAATACATCTTATTGCTAAGGCTGACAAATTGGGTTATTAACCTGCCTATGTTACAGAGTACTGGAGTTCCCTGGCTTCTGTTCAGCAATCACATTTCAGGTAGCTACAACTATCTGCCTCAAGAAATGCTCATTATTATTCACTTAGCAGAACAATTATGTTTTAAAGGTCAAGGTATCCTATCTACCCATCTCATCTGTCTCTCTAACTAATCTTATGCAGGGCATCATCAAAGGACTTTCAGTATCTGTATCAAATACAAGCAACTTAATAACCCCTTTAAAATATTTAAGATATAAACCAATATGCCTACTAAAATAAAACAAATAAGGTTGTCTCATAATTTAGCTTTCACTTTATAATGTACGTCAAATAAAATGCTGGATCCTAGTGCCAGGATTGCATATATACCGCCCATTTTGGGGCTTCTAAGCTGAGCAGTGGTTACGGTCTGCTTCCCCAGCTACTCAGTGACTGTCATTACACAAACTGCTCCCATGTCCCTGTAACCTGGATAACCCAAGCTTTGATATGTTACTCTTGTCCCATCGTGTGACCCAGAGCACTTGCAAGCAAGAAACAACATTATTTGAGAGGGTCAGTGCTAATCACCTTAATTATCTGCATTTACATATTTCAAAATCTGTAGCCACTTTCTGAGGAACTTCAAAAAGTTAGCAAACACCCAGTGCCTAGAGATACAAGAAGTGTGTTACTTGTCACTCAAGCAGTCACACTGCTCTTTTGCCTGCCAGGGAAGAGTAATTAAACTGACAAGAAAGCTTTGGCAGCCTGTGCCAAAGCTTGTCCATTTGTCCCCACACTTTGGGGTGACGTTTTCACTGCAAGTCCATCTCCTATCTTGCCTTCAAAAATGATATTTCAAGAGTGTGAAAGAGCTGTTGGAGAAAGCCACAGAAAACAATACACAGAGAGATTGGAGTTTATCACTTCTTGTAGGGGCTCACTCACTTTGTCAGATGACTTGCTGTACTTTGCAATTACTGCAAAAATAACAACAGACTATTTAAAGTGATTTCCTATTCTCCCTCCTTTGCTCTCCCTATTTTCTACTAACTTGTCAAAAAGTACATTGTGTTTTGTCTACTAAAAGCACACTGTGAGTCAGAAAGCAGCTTAATAAGGGATGAAAAATATGCTACCTGAATGTCTCATAGCTTCTGCACGAGCTATGGATGTTACCCAAATGACAAAACGCTGATGCTTTACATTTTTTCACGGTGACAATGCATGAAATCTTTGTGATATAAAACAACAGTAAGGGTTATTTCTTCTGCTTTGCTTTGTGTGTTAAAAAAAGAGTTAAACAGGATACCTGTAGTGTTATCCACAATTACTACTACAACACAGGTTCCCAGTTTGGGTGCTTACGGCTTAAATCCATAAGAAGGGTTTTCAGATCTTTGGCAGTAAACTACAGATATATTCGGATGGTTTAACTACCACACACAAATATATACTGGCTTTTAAACTCCGTTAAGAACTTAGCATGCCCCAGGAATGTAGCCAGATGAGCTAAGTTTTTGGAAGAGCTCACTCCAGAATAACAGAAGAAAACAGTTGTGTGTTGCCTCCAACATCTCCAGTCCAAATACTGAAGCACAGTGCTTATACGTGAGAAAAACGCAGCATAATTTGCCCTTATACAGAATTGCACGGGCTAAATTGAAAATCGCAAAAAGTAAATGAATACATGCAATGAAAATTAAATGAGATTTATATTGCAGTGTTCAGTATCTAAGGCACTTTTAATTACATATGTAAGGAAGTGTATTCATCTAAAACGTATTACAGCAAGCGACATACCCCCTTTAAAATGTGTTGAAAAATGAACATGCTGATTCTCAAGCTGGTGCAAAAACTGTCAGACTCCATTGATTTCAGCAAAGCTATGACAATTTTCAGCAGCCTGCTATTTACCCAAGTTTTTCCACCTCTTACTTTTCATAACAAAATAAAATCCCCTTGGTGAAATTTCAGCCCATCCTTGGTGGACCTGGAGAACAGTCCATTCCTTTCCTTTTTCCATTGACATTTATGTATTTCCACCTTCTTGTCTCCCTGCAGAGACTTTCTTTAAACTGCATAAACCCAGTACTTTTGTGTTTTCCTCTTTTTTTAGGCCACTGATAATTTGTGTTGGTCTCCTCTGGAGTTTCTTCAATTAGCCCATGTCTTTTCCAAAGTGCAATGCCCAGAGCTGAAGCCTGTGCTCCAGCTGAGGCCTCCTTGATGCCAACTGGAGTGGAAGAACATGCTTATTTATACAGCCCAGTGGGGTGTTCGGCTTTTGTGCGGTGCTGTGGTGTAGTTTACTCTATCCTGTTTGTTGCCTGTTCTCTCTCCAGCTCCTTTTAGTAAATCTGCTACCTTACCAGTCATCCTGCATCATGCCTTTCTGCCCATGATTATTCCTGATGAGGTGAAGCAGGCACCTTTCTAAAATGATGTTCCTCTTACTATTTAAGGCAGATTCCTACATTTGGCTGAAGTTAATCCTGACATCCAGAAAAACATTGGTAACCTGTCCAAACATGGCACTGCCTGCAAATTTAGTAGGTGTATTTGTTACTCCATCAAGGAGGAGAAGATCAGTGACTACCAGACCAAAGCCTGAAGAACTCTTGATACCTTTGCTCTACATCCGGATAAAAACCTGAGAGAAATCCCACCAACTTCAGTGACATTCCTGACATGTAAATGAGCAACATAAATATATGCTGCCATCGCTACGAAGAGCCCAGGGCTGATAATACAGAGAGGATAATCCCAGTACGCAGCGGGATCTCAGGAGGAGAGGATCCCTTATCAGAGTCCTGGGTAATGACCAACCAAAAATACATACACATGCATTTGGATGCAACCAGGAGCTATCTGTGGAGGGAAGGTACAGTGGTTTAAGCTAAGGTGTATTCAAAACATGACAGGCACCCACTAGCTCCATGTGTAGCACTGATTCAGTGGCCCCTGTGCCTTTTATGATTTTGCTTTGCTGGTTGTAAAATGTGCTAAAAAAAGGAAAAGAAAAAAAGCGATCCCTGGAGCAAAACACAAGCCTCCAGATGGGAACTGCCATGGGGCAGTTATGGGATGCTGAAGTAGTAACTCTGGGATACTTCCTCACACAGACTTCCTTAAGGATTTGCTTTTAAAAACATGTGCACATCATAATTTTATGTTACAACAGAAGGAAGTTCCCCCCCATATGGTAAAGGTGGGTGAAATCAGAAAAGCAGACCTGTTTTAGCCCCAAACATGCTTTCCTTTAAGAAGTGAGCAGTGAGGGCTCATAAGATCTTAGAGACAGCTAACTGGAGAACACCGTCTCTGAGACCCATGTCCATTTTCAACCAGCTAGGAAATCCTGTTACATTTACCAGGGCTCCACTGCTCAGCAGGATCATGAATATGATGAAAGTTTCAAACCAGTTGTGTTCGACGATTCTGTAGCAGGTTTTCCGCAGCCTCCACCAAATTTTGCCTGGAAATTTTGTGATGTCCACTGAACAGCATGGGAAGAATCTCACACAAACTGAAAAGGAGCAACATGAAAACAAAGCAATTGTTAAAAAAGCCCATTTAATTCTTAAAGCTACAATAAGGAGCTGCTAAACAAGATTTCTTCTAGCAATAAGCTGCTGCATGGAGCCTTTCCCCCCTTGTTTTTCTCACAAACCTCTTCTGCTCTGCCTTCCGTTTCCCCCTCTCACTCCTCTATTAAAAAACATTCAAAATCACTTAAAATGTGCCCCAGTGATTTCTCCCAATGATTTTTATGATACAGAATATATTGGCCATGAGTCACCAGTGCCCTAGGTCGATCACATTGTCTTAGCTGAGCTCAGGCACCACCCCTGATCAGGACTAATGACTCTAGCAGCGTATTACCAATAGTTTCCACATCCTTCTGAATGGAGGAAGGATGTTTTCTTGGTACCATGATACCACTAGAATTACTGATTAAAGGTGGCAATCTGATGAAAGGGAGATGAAGGGAGGAGATGCTACAGCGCAGAAGAGACTCAGACAGCAAAAGCAGGAGCAGATTTTGATCTCTTGGACTCTCATGAGCTTAAACGAGGCATTAGAACAACTTTGGAAATATATTTAGGTGGTTAAATCCCCTTTGATGTCAGCAGAAATTTAGATACCCAGTCCACAGCAGGTTCCCCACTGATGCTTCATAGCACTTTCTGACCTTAGTGACAAATACTCTGTGATAGTTAAATGCTGTCGTTGTGATGGGGACCATACAAGGATTTCTGATAGGCAAAACCATAGCCATTTTTAGTTTCCTTAGCAACATCACTAGTTATAGCAAAAGGATATTGTCATTGGTAATGGACAGATCCATCTCTCCCATTTTAAAAAACACCATGTGCACTGCCTTGTGCTGGGTAAGAACTTAAAACTGTGGTAGCCAGGACTTGTCCTTGTCCAGGCTGGCCATTCAGCCTTATGTCAGATAATTTGACTCAAATTTCACAACATTTGCTCATGAGAATGACCCTCAGAAACTACTTTATTTTCAAAAAGCAAGCTTTTTACCCTACATTTAATCCATATGCTGTATAGAAAAAGACTTAGCTATGGAGCTTTATGAGTCCCACCATGAGAAAAAAAAAACATAGGCCAACTGCTTCCGTAGCTGAAAGGTGGCCAAGGTCACTAACATGTCTTGAAGCATACAACAACTGCTCAGACGTGACAAGGGAGGACATCTCACTATGGTGATTTAATGCAATGCTATTGCAAGTAGAAATAATATTTAGGCAAGGAAGCTGGGGAAGGAAAGAGGGTGAGTGCCAAGGTTACGCAGGCAGCACATGCTGCTAATTCAAGGTGGCATAACAGAGGTGCTTGAGCTGCATGTGATATGCGAGGAGATCAAGTGCAAGTCCCGGGATGCCAGGATTCCCAAGCAGCTGGAAGTGGGGGGTCTGCTGGCAGCAGCCTCTGCCAGGAGGAAGAGAGCTGCTAAGTCTGCTGTGGTCCTCCTGGCATTTTCTGTAAGTTTTTATTAGCCCGGATCGCTGCTATGGAGCAGCAGAGCTGTCGGATGTTTCATACATGAACCACTCCCAGATCTCCCCTTGCCCTCACATTTCTGAGATGTTTGGTAGGTGTAGGCTCTTGGATGTATGAGATTTTGGTATGGGACTAACAGGACAGTAAACCATTTATGCAAAGGTAATGGGACAATGATGCAAGCAACTACCTGTCCTCTAAATGTCTCTGTCACACAGGCCCACACCAGTTCCCAGTTTACCACTGTATTCTGGAATTCAGAGAAATTCTGGGCTCGGTTGAAATACACTCATTTAATCAAACTATTTGAGAAGAACATAATGCTAGGAGAAGATAGAAGTGTAAGAACCAGCTCTCTGCCTCTTTGTAGGTCAGGTACCACTCCAACAAAGGAAAGTTTTATCCCTCTAAGCACTTCGATGCAGAACACCAAAGAATCATGTCAAGAGAGAAAAGGATATCATGTTAGTCACTGCTTTTTGCTAAAACCAGTACAGTGCTCAGAGACAGTAATGCATGTGATTTGGGTATATTTTAGGAAGTAGATACAAGGAACAGACTTCAGGCATACAATACTGCATGGTACCAGGATCCCTGAGCTAACATACTCATATGGCAGCTCTGCTTAGAGGTGCTCATGCAGTACAATCCCACCAGCATGACATGCCAGTGGGGGCTGTTAGGTGCATCTCTTAGCAATGCTGCCAGAAAACTCTTACGCTGCTTCTCACCCCATGACCTCTATGGTCATTACCAGCTTTCAGGTGTCTGGTCCACGCTCTGTGCTGTTATGCAGGTACATTGGCCACCTCATTATCAATTCAGCTTTAGATCAGGAATAACAAAGACTTGGTCTCAGATCCTTCATTCATCAAGTGAACAGCCTAATGAGCAGATTGTTCACTACGTAAGTGTGGATTTCTCACCATAGAATCATAGAATACCAGGTTGGAAGGGACCTCAAAGATCATCTGGTCCAACCTTTCTAGGCAAGAACACAGCCTAGATTAGATGGCCCAGCACCCTGTCCAGCTGAGAAAGTTAAGCAGAAATCCCCCTTTTTACTGGAAGTAACCACTGCTTCTAGCAGAATAAACTTTCCACGAGCCTACCTTGTTCCCATAAACAGTTTCAATTTGGAAAAAAAATCAGCTTTTTTCTGACTTAAAACATTTGTCCAGAAACTTTTCCTCTTTTCTCCTAAGTTACTCCCTAGATGGATACTTGGCTTTTTAGTCTCTTAGACAAATGCCTAGGCTCAGCTAGTAATAGGCATGACATGCTCTATCATGCTCTTACAGTGTAGAAATGCTCTGTAAGTGCCATTAGAAAAGGTTAGGATCTTCCAGGAAGTGGTTTTCCCCACCGTAAGGCAGTTGGATGAATCATTCCCTAGAGGAGCCTGCCTCTGTCTTTCACTACACAGGGAGCCTACATGACTACCTGAGCCCAGGCACAGCTAAAATTAGGGGATCACCTTCAAATTAAATACTAATGAGCAGGGCACTGTGAGTTCCAAAGTCACTTCATTTGTGATGGAAAATACTTACAAAATGGCAAAAACAGGCTATTGCTGATTCAGTCAGCTTCCATCTGATAATCTACAGGTACAGAGAGGTATTTTAAAGACAGAAAGCCCACTAGGACCACTAATATTTTTTTTTATGCCCTTTGATGGCTTTCATGCAATTCAGATCTGAAAAAAAAGTCCTAGTTACTGACAGTAATACCTTGAAAAATCCAAAATAGCTTCTCAGATGAGTCAGCCTAAAATCACAGCGCTATTAAATCCCATGCTTTTGATTGGGCCCAATTCAGAAATGTTTAGACCAGATTCTGATACAATTACTAATGTCAAGTAGCACTTCCATGAATAATCATGCTGGCTGCAATTCAGATGAAATGCTATTTTTAACTGTTCATAAATCAAACAGAAAAAAAGAAAACTGAAAGAAAAAAAGAAAACTGACCACAAATGTCTTTTAATGAATTTGCAAAGTTCTATTTCCATTTCAAATTTTCTGATTTCCCTCACTAACTGTTATTTCATGCCACTGGTTTTCTGGACTCTCTCATAATGCTGGTAGCCCACTGTTCTGGTGACCTTGACCCAAGCTTAAATACTGAATTAGAAGCTTCACATAACTCAACCAAAAAGTTTACCTGACCTTGGTCAGCTTTCTAATAGTGTTTTGGTTTTTTTTTTTCCATTTCTGTGAAATCAAAACATCAAAAACATTCCAATGTCTCTAAGGCATGAGCTGGTGAGGGTCTGAGCAATCATAACTCCAGCTGGCTTCTGCAACAAGGCAGGTGGTCAGCAGAGCCCAGCTTCAGGTTTTGAAAGCTACTTTATCCACATGAAGAAGATTATTCATTAACACCTTTTAGCACAGCAAGTATCAAGGCATTGATACCCTTTGACATTCCTTGCAACAGCATTACTCATACTGCCTTGTCTAACAGATTTGTGCTATCCCCCTGAAATCAATGCTAGTAGGGAATGGGTTGTGCAGAAGAAGCTGACCACCTTGTGATTTAGTCAGGACTTAGTTTTGTCACGCTAATTCATGTTGGGTTACATCTTATCTGAGAGCAAACTGACTCATTTCCACCATGGACTTTTGGGTAGTAGGTTACTCCTCAGCAGAAACACAGAACAGCAGAAAAAGTCCCCCCCAAAGGGTCTACTTATTTGCTGGTAAATCAGTGAAGCTATACTGAGATGCATTAGTGGTCAGCTTGTCCAAGGACAATGTCTGTTTTCAATTCATATTTGAACATTACATACCATTTCTCTCAAAACAGAGACCTGTTTACCAAGAAACCTTTCCAAATGCAATGTATACCATGATATTATTTATTTTTTGTTTGTTTTTCATAACAAGGGAATTGTTGCCTTCAGTCCCTGGGGTGTCTTATGGCACAATCACAAACTGCAGATTAAAACATGTCATAAACCACAGTCTCCACTGCAGGTGTGACAGAGAAAGCTCTCCCTTAAGCCCCTGCCACAAGGATAAACAAATTATCAAAAAAAAAAAAAAAAAAAGCTAGAGGAATTTAATATAAAATGCATTTTGTGTAAATATTCCTTTAGTTCCACATTCACATTTTCTAGCTTGGTGCGTTATAATCATGGAGCTGTTAGACCTGATTGCATTACCTTGGTGCACTGGGAAAAAAAATTTCTTTGTAAGTGTGGGAGCTGTACTGCAAAAGCTTCCTCCTGCATGCATGACAGCCAAGCCTATTGATTTCAGGCTTGTGAATAAAGGCTTTACAAATCCACTGCTTGTTCACGCCAATATACACATTTAAATTTACATAAAATTATTAGATATGTTTTGGAAGGATTGGGCTGCTGATTCTCTTCAATAAACCAGGAAGACCAATTAATTTCTTCTATACTGTGGTCCAGTAAGTCTGATACCTTGTGTTCAAACTGCAGTAATTTTGTAGCTACTTTTACACAGGAGCTCCCAACTATCAGGACATTCATTTTTAGAACAAAACAATATTTTGCTTAGCTTTGAATGCTGGTTACAGCATTGCTTGGTTTGACACAAAGAAAATACAGCTTCCTCAGCATAAACTCAAGCAGGCAGGTATTCATAACATGGTTTTAGCATATATATCTCTGCCAAGCTGGGTTTCTAATGACCAGCGTGGCTAGCTGTGTATGCTCAAGCAAGAAAGCAAGCCTGGTTGTACTGTCCCTTCGTAAGCCCCCAGCTGTCTCCCCATGCATGGAGGGAACACAGTCACTGCAAACCCTCTTTATTTAACCTGTTTCTCATCTTCTGCCCCCCCTAACCCACTGGCATGCATGGCTGGGCTTTTAGCTCTCGGGCTAACACAGATTTGCCATCGTTGTCTCCAGCATTCGGGTACCTTAGACATACATGGATATTTGAATCTTTTCTCATGTACTACAACTGGGTGCTGCCAAGAGAGCATCTGACAAAGCCACAGCCTGCCAGGTGTTTTTTACTCTTCCAAGGGCTTTACAAGGGTACATTTCTTGTTTATCTGCTGCTACTCGCCTCATAACATATCCTCTCGGAGGTCACTACAAATAACTATGTGATGCCTTGAAGCAAAGGCAGTGGGCAGCCTGGTCCACTACCGATGTCAGCCCTGCTTCGAGTGAGGGGGTGGACAAATTGAAATCTAGAGATCCTGTCCAACCTGAATTACTTTAATTCTGTACATGCGATAGGACTGTAAGAGTTCTATGACATCTGAAAACTGTATATAACAAAATACTAGCATGCCCTTCCTGATGGAAAAAAACGCTGTGTCGCAGATATTACAGCTAGAGGAAAAAGATACCTTAAAACTTGTTTTGATTCTGCGATTTTTTCCCTAGCATGACAGTTAACACATTTTGTTTGGCTTGGTTTGGTTTTACTTAGCTTTTAAGCATCATCTGGTGGCAGTCCCCATAGCTCAGTTTAGATTTGTTCAGTTTAACGATCTGTTTCCGACCCTCTTCACTTTTTTATTTCTAAACAACCGCTAACTGTGGTTGGGGACAGCATGATCCAGATCCCACCATTAATCAGAGTAACTTCACTGTAGTGCATGGCATTTCCAGCTGCGATAATTGCTCCTACATGGTCACATGAAAAACAGGTTGCGGGCGTCCTTGGTGTCACGAGTTGCGATCAACTGCGCGTTGAGCAAGGTAGCTCATTCTCGCCCGACCATCTGACGATACTCCTTTGAAACCTTTGCCAGCGGGCTGTGTCTGGGGAATTACGCTTGAGGACTTGGTGAAAACTTTCTCCTATTAGGGTCTGGGAGAGAGGAGCATGCTGGGGCCAGGGGGCTTTCTTTGGATGACCTTCTGTGAGACACAGAAGAGAATGTCCAAGCAGATAGCAATTTTTGATGCAGAGAACGCATACCAATGGAGGTAGCAGGACTGGAGTGTTGCAAGGCATCTGGAGGAAAAAATACCCAAATAGCTGGCATTGCCTAGATGTTGCTTTCCCATTAACTGGCAACAAGAATGATCTCTCCATTTCTATCAGTTTTTTCCCAGCAATACTTGCTAGGTGCCAGAGCTGTGACCCTACCTTGGCTTCACATTTCCTGACCCAAGAATACTCCCTGTTGACCCTAATCAAAGCTATTTTGAGATGATAATGAATTAACAAGTCTCCCCAAGAAAAACGACCTATGGCTTATCTGCGTCACCCAACTCCCGGAAAACTGTGACCTCAGCAAACTTTCAGCAACTATTTCAAGAACATGCATTATCTTCATTGCCTTTGTTATCTGAAAAAGGGGGCTGAATTCGGAACATATTTGTTCAGGACATAACCTATGCTGGATGTGTTTAGAAATGTCATAGTTTGAATTCAGATAGCTGGTGAGCTAACAAGGTAAGAGCTTAACCCTTCCCCTCTTGCTCTTCCTCTTCATCTCACCTAATCTCCTTCTTTCACAAATATTAGCTGGTCATTCTCCCAATTATACCAAATATTGTTGTATCTCTTTATTACAAGCCAGTAAAGGCAACACTAGATAAACCTGCCCAGCGCATGCCCTTCAATATTTCAATTTTAGTACTTTTTAACTTTGTCATATCTTAGCTAACTGGACTGTTGTTTGTTGGCTTGCTTATTTTTTAACTGAACTGAAATGATAACTGCATGAGGTTTAATTGCAATGGTAAGTTTGGGTAAAAGTATTGGAAGGTATTTAATAGAAGAAGATTATAGGAAAACACTTTCTTTCCTTGCTTAAATAAAACCAAACGTTAATGTCATTGCAGTAAGAATCATTTGGACTTTCAGTTTATGGCACCTTGACTTGAAATTTTATGAGTGAACACTCACATGTCAAGTTTATGCATTTTTGCCAAATCCATGAGGAATGTGATCACATTTAGCCTACACAGTAACCTCTGGAAAATCTGTATGGATATGTGCTGCAGAGGAAAGCAAAGCAGATATGTTGGGGAGGACGACACCTGCAACTGCATCCCCAGTGCCGCTGTACACCCTGCACTGGGCCAAGGGCTGGGAGCAGGTTCTCCTTCAATTCCCATTCAGAGCTCAAGGCTCAGCTGGCTGTACCCTAGGAGAAGAGGAAAACACCCTGACTTGAACAGGGACTGGTGAGGAACTAGGAGAGATGAGGAATAACACGCAAAAGGCAGGAGCAGGGATGCTCGGGCGGAAGGGAGCAGGAGCCAGCAGGGTGGATGTAACCCAGGGCAAGTTTGGGGGTCAGCCCACAACGCCTTTGTTTCTACATTTCTCTGCTGCCAGGAGGATGAGTGGGCTTCAAAACTGGCTTAATGCTTCCAGTGATCCATCTAGAAGAGCACTGCTTGCTACCCTGCATCCCATTGACAGCAGAGAAGATCTGACAAACTGGGTTGGTACTGGTGTGGTCCTGCACGATGGAGTTTCAGGCAGTTCTGCTTATTTTAAGACAGAGCTAATTACAGAGTGCTGCTGCTCTGGGAATGAATCAGGGGTGTGCACTGAATGAAGTGGTAGGCTGTGTGATGTCTGCCTTATTTCTTTTAAAAACTGGAAGGCGATCATGGCCAACCACAGTTTCAGAATTTGGAAACTGGCATCTGACTAGCACCGGTCTTACAGCACTGGCTTGTTTAAGCAATTATAATATCATTTCTCACTTTGCAGTGCACAACATAGATTGCTGCTCGTTAGCCTCATTAAGAAATATATTGTGAAAGAATGAAAACACCAGATCTAATTTCTAAATGTTATTGTATGGGCCAGAATAGTTACACCATGCTTTCTTCCATCAACTGCATTAATTTTTGGCTACTGCTTTTAAGCAGAGCTGCCAAAAAAATGTTTAGATCCTAGGAACATTTGTAAGCCCTGCAGGGCTCCCTTACCTCATTCAATCATCTTTCTCACGGATATAGAGATGCACATTTTTGCTGACTTCAGGGGCATTCATATACCCAGCAAATCATCTCTGTCTGATCCCATCTGAGCAGCTCAGTTTTTATTTATAATAATCCTTGAATTTTCAAGGGAATATACTAACATTCAGCTAACCCTATTTTTCCTAACCCAGATTTAAAGGAAAATGAGGAATCTGACTGAGATAATATTTGGAATAGAACTCACTCTGAGAAGAAATAACTTAGGGTGTTATTTACCTTACAGATTTACTTTAAAATAGATCTTCTGATGTAGCTGGGTTTAAAACCTGTGTTTTGGAGTGGGCTCGTGTTAGAAAATTAATAAAATGATGCCGTATTTTGGTATTAAAAGTTATGTAAATGTGATTTGTTGTTATCTAAAATAATTAAGTAAAATACCCTTTACATAGCACATCCTTGGTCAGGTGAAAGTTACTGGACATGCTAATCTTAACATCCTTTAAAATAAATGGAAGAGAGTCCCTGGGACTCATGAACTCTCCAGACATCTTCTGTTAACTGCCTATATACATTTAAGAAACAGAAACATCCTGATCTGGTCAGTTCTCTACTGAATTTGATCATGCACACATATTGGAAGGCAAAAATCTTCATTGGCCAAGTTAGAAAAATCAACACTAAAAAAAAAAACCCAACCCTTTATGGCACAAATTATGACGAAAAAAAGCCAAGCACTTTAGAAGCTGCATAGCCTTTTAGAGCATGCTTTTGGCTTATCTCACCTTGGAAATCTAAAGACTAATGATAACAAGTGATTTTGAGTGTGTGTTTGGAGCATTACAGTATCTAAGAAATGAAGTGCATTCAGTGAAATACTACTGCAAGCAGCCAGAGCAACGTGGTGTGAAGATGGAGAGATGTGCACTAAGAGAAGAGGAGGTTTCTTGCCTCAGCATTGCCATGAAATATGCAGGCCCTTACCTTCGGGGAAGCAATCTTCAGGCTCCATCAGCTCCTCAGCAAACTCAGGGATCTGCTCCAGCAGTTCTGCAGGATTTGTCAAATCCACTGTGCTGCCTTCAGAAAGACTGATTTCATCAAGCTTGTTGTCAACAAGAGCAAAGACGAGGAAAACAAATTGATCAATCGCCCTGAAGGAAGTAGCTGAGGTTTTATTCCACTAACCAATATCCCAGCTAAAGCCGCCACAACAGAGACATCGCCATGCATTTCATATGGTGCCCGCTCCTTGAGTGACAGCTCTGCCTACGCTGCAGTGAGCTAACAGTTGACCCATCAATAAGAACAACAACAAAAAGTTAACACGTAAAACTTACTTTTTAAAACAAAAGAGAAGCAAACTGTAGAAAGATAGTGAACAGCCATTGAATATTAATGGTAGGTAGAAGCTTGGAATGATAGAACCACTCATGATTTTAAGGCTTGTACATCCTGAAGGCTCACATGTTCAGATGGGGGGGATCAGAAGTGGGACCTAGCTCCTGAAATGCTGAAGGATGAATTTGATGACCTGTGTTGGGTTCCTGTCACTGGGGCCTCATTCCTGAGGCTCCTCACCCACAGTTGATGGGTGAAATCTGCACCTCATCAGTCAGGACCATGCTCTGCTTCCTGCTGCCACAGCTTCTCCTCCGAGATGAGCAGAAGTCCCTCTGTCACCAGGGTCCAGTCACACGATGCTACAGGCACACATGTGTGAGAGGGCTTCCACCTGCCTCATCCCAGGCCTAACTTATTCCCACCACATGATGTGGCCCCTCACCTTTTGATCACACATTTCTGATCTCAAGGTGATGTAGGAGGAGGGGCACATGGCTTTTGGAAGCCTTTCAGAGGCTCTATCACTTCCCTGAAGTATTTGACACCACCATCTTAGGCACGTTGTTTAAATTCAGCGGTTCTCAAATCCTCCTCTGCAAAATGGGGACAAGAATATTCCCGCTCCCTGAAGCATTGGTTGTCTTATCTATTTAGGGCAGGAACTCTCAAGTAGAGCTGGGTAAAAATTTCTGGGTAATATATTATTTTAAAAAATTGTTTTAGAGGCTGAATTTGCTATTAAATAGATATGATATATGATTAAATAAATCACTCTAATATGAAATTTCATTTCCAGTCAAAACTTTCTTTTAAGAGAATCAAAACACTTTCTTTAGAAGAAAACAGGATTTTTTTTCCCCATATTTTATTTTACTAGTCAAAATAAAACATTTCTATTTTGTGTTAATCCAAAATTATATTTTACTTGTTTATTCAGCTTGGCCACTAAAGTGAAAGATCTAATATTTGCCCAGCCCTGTTCACAGGGGCTGACTGTTTCTGACTGTATTAGAGCACTATCTGGCATAAGTGGGCAACACTGAAGCTGGTATCTTCTACGGGTCATATCAATGCAAAATAGATATAAGCAGGAGTCAGGAGAGGTGGGTTATTGGTTAACTGTCTTATTCCGTTCTCTGAGTGCCTACTGAAATCTTTTTGTGCTTTATCTTGCAATACTATTGTCTCCATTTAAAAAAATGAGGACAATAATACTTACCCATGCTTTTAAACAACCTGTGAGATAGTTATATGAGAGATGGCACGTACACATAAAATATTATTTTCATGAGGACGATGGTGATGGAGTTAGAGAATAGGTACAGCTTTATATATTTATTATTAATGTGAAAATGGGCCCTCTGTTTTCCAGTATACACAGTCAATGCAAAATTTATAGCTGAATTCAGAGAAATGCTGAACCTGGGGTAAAATGGGCAAGATTGAACATTCCAGCAATGCTTGCAAGCGGGGATGGAAGCTACTTGTTTGCAATTAGCTGCAGCATCCAGAAGGTCATAGTCTTGGCTAGGGTTTTTAATGCTCTACTCAAAAGGACTGCAAACAATAGAGAACAGACCTTTTAAAAAGAGAGTCAGAACAGAAAGCACAGGTCAAAGACATGGATAAAGCTTCTAAAAAATCCATATATAGAATACAGCTGTTGTACAGAGCCCATTTTCTACAGACTACCAACAGTATATGATGGTGGAAAAAATGTCATACCAAGTTTTAGCACAGTCAGAACTTTCTGATACTGTTCATTAGGGAATGCATTTAGTCATTATCATCTGTTCTGTTATGAAGACGTCAAAACACAGATCACCGAAATAGTCCTAAATCATATACAGCTGTAGGATGTAGAAAGCAGGGGTTCCAATGAGAAAAGAAACCTTGTTGGATATAATTCTTACCAATAGACAGAAATCAAAGAAAACTGTGAGAACAATGCCAGCTTGATAGCATTGTCAATGAGAGAGCTGGATTTAGCAGAGACAGGTTAGGAAACTCACAGAACACAATACAGTGCAATTATAATAGACTACAAGGAAAACATCTTAAAGAATCAAGTTCTTGAGAGTTACTTATCAGGAGGAGTTTTCAGAAAATATTAGAATCCATCAGTGTCAAAGGGAGATGGGGAACATGCAAGAGAAAACAGATAGGCTTTCTTCTGAAAAGCCTTCAAAGAAGAAGAGGCAGAGAACATGGATTCAGAAAACAATAGACAAAGGTTTGAGGGTCCAAACTGGGACTAGAAAAAGAAGTAATCATACATATGAGAGAGGAGGGAAAGATTAGGAAAGCTTGTAGGAAAAGAAGCAAAGGTTACTCTTTGCCAGAAAGGTTAACGGGATTAAGAAGGCTTTCATGAACTCAGTAATGGAAAGAAAAGAGCTAGAGACATAATAACAATTGATGAGGGCAATGTAACTAATCAAAATTCAGTTGCCTAAGAAAATAAACTCTTTTTAAAAGAATCCAACAAGGGGATCAATAAAAAGAGGGGGGAGAGCCTGTTAGAATTAATACAAATGTAAGCAAAGAAATATCTCATAAGCCTGAAACATATGCAAATCAATGGATCCAGACAAGGCACATTGTAGGGCATAAAGGGATCCGATACACCAAGTTAAAACACCATTAGCAATCAATAGTGAATGCTCATGGAAAACTGGAAACAGCCCAGGAGAGCAGCAATAAGTAAACACAATACTGAGCTTAGAGAAGAGGAAAAGGGAATAATCATGGGAATCACAGATCACTAAACACTTTCTGTAGCCTGTGATTAAAGTAAACTAAATAAAGACTCAGAGGAGAAAAGGTGAGTGCTTTCTCGGAGTGAAATGTCATAGAGACGTAAGGGTAGTGAGGTGGTTTTCCTGTCTGCTAAGGGTCCTGTGCACAAATGGGGTGCAAAGAGGCCAAAAGAAGGCAAAAAGGACAAATACAGAATCTCCTCTTTCTTTCTTGGAATAAGTGAGTGGAGGAGGTGTACCAGGCAGAGACAACGGGATCTGTCAGAAGCCCCTTTGGGAGACCTCCCACTAGTGCATGAATTCATGCTGCAGAGGGGAGTTTTTAATGTGTTTCTGGGTGGAGCGGCTGTTTTAAACACCCAGACAGGGCTTCCACACCCACTGCTTGTGTCTGCAATAGTGGCAAATTGATCTGAATGGGTTTTTCAGAAAGCCTTTAGCAGAGAGATGCTGAAATCCCATTGAAAGTTCATGTTTGCTCAAGGCTTAACTTTTATCTCCCTTCCTCTCTCCTTCACCTCTGAAGATCACAGCCTTAATCTACCAAATTGGCTTATGATATATAAACCTTAAGAAAATATCTGGATGCCTATTATAGAAAAGTCTACTTTTAAAATAAATTGTTATTGGCTTGGATTCACTTATTGCTGTGTGGAGAAAAGCCATCCTAAGGACCAAAATATAACACAAACTTTGTCTTCAGAGGAGGAGATCTGTAGGGATTCGAGTCAGCAGTATCTTCACTACAGATATATAAGATGTACAGACCAATATAATCCACAGGTCAGCTGATAACATTAAATTGGAGTGAGTATTGAAACCAAGCAAGCAGAAAGGAAAAGAGAAGTAAAACATGGATGGAATATAGCAAAATGATACTTGACTCAAAACAGTACAAATGAGAGAGTTCAGGAAAAATTCCAATGGAAATCCTGGAAACCTGTAACCCCAAGTCACCTGGAGTAATATTAAAAAATTAGATGTGATTTTGCAGTGGGATATAACAATGCAGAAAACGTATATGAAAGCATCGTGTCTAGATAATGAGATACTATTTCCTCTCTTTACAGTTCTGCGGAAGTTGTATTTGGAATAGTGTGCTTGCTTCTTGGCAAGACAACTCCAGAAAGGAAAAATTGAGGGAGTTGCAAAGAAAGAGGTAAAAAAAGTCAGATAAAGGGCACAGAGATAGTCATTTACAAGAAATAATGAAATGACAGAACAATGACGTGTGACTTTAGGGGGTAAGCCAAAGACAAAAGGAAGCAAACAACAGTCTACTAAATTAAATGATATTAATTCATAAAAAGAGAATGATGGATAAAATTGATAAAAGAGAGTAATGAAATGGTACTTTAAAAGGGAAAAAAATTTTTTAAAAAAGGCCTGGTTATTAAGGCAATACACCCAGCCATGAGGTTTTTTCTAAGCAAGTGAATTGTTCCCTTTGGTAAATGAAGAAATCCAAGTTGCCTGATACATTTAAAGTAGATTCCACAAAGCTGTACAAAATATTTTACAGGGCAGTGTTTTGGCAGGGAAATCAACCAGTTTGTTCTCTGAGGTCTTACATCCACCTGTGACATCAATGGTTTTATTTCTGTGATGTCTTTCTAATGATTTATATAGGATGAATATTTAATCATATAATGTATCCTTTACTGACATCAACAGCGTTTTATTCAGAACACATTCAGTGCTTCCTGTTATTGACTGAATCACTCAAAGCCCTGCCTCTTGGGCATACCAAATCTGTTAAGTTGCTTCCTCGCAGTTGCTGGCTTTATTTGGCTAGTTGCAAGTTCTTGGGACATTCATCAAAAAGATGATTAGCATGTCCTTGTGTGCCAGCACAAAGATTACTTCTGAATAGGAGGACTGTAGATATGTAATGTCCACGCAAGATCTGGCCTTCAAAAATAGCATCCTTTGGGCTTTGCTCTTTCATGTTGGTATTCATAGCCTCGTGTGAACTTCCGTTTGATTTCAAGTCATCCCTGGA